GGTTCATAAGATACAAGGTTGCTGGAATTGTTTGCTCGATGTAAGTCGAATCACAGTGCAGTCTGAAGATCAAGGGAAACGGCAGCTGTATGTCGTTTACAAATTGTGCTAATCCTGAGTGAAATTTCCCGTGTCGAGCTCGGGCCCACGGGATCCGAGACATTATGTATGACTGCATACGTTCACTTGCTTAAAAGCGACGCGCAATTTGTCGCAGAAACATTGAAGCTGCCGCGCAAACGGAATATTTGGTGTCGGACAGGCGTTAGTATTTGTGTGGAATGCATACACGAGGACCCCTCCAACTTCGATTTAGGCAAAACCCAGTTTATCGATAAAGTAGACGCTATTGAGAAACATACGTATCCGTTTTAGTTGCGGGGGTACGAGTCGCGGGGACTAGGGGATGAAACTATTATGAAACTTTTACGTTATAACGTTCAAACTGAATAAGTTGTCAAGTCATTAAAAACTCTATGAATTTTATACAATGTAGTCGTTGGTTTCATGTACTGATAACTCGATCTTGCATCTACGTTAAACGACGTGTTTGCGACGCGTTAATTAAAGCAATTAAACCAAAGAAAAACAAGGTTCAGCGTGAAAGTTTGTAGGACAATTTTGTCCGTAAATTTCGAGTTTTCGTAAGCGGATGAAATGCACGGCCATCAATTTTCTTTGTTGCGCAAATATGCAAAGCTTTATCAACAAAATTCGGCATTGATTTCTTGTTAGCGGCCATTAATATGACGTGAATATCGAGCAGCAATTATCGCGACACTTTCCTCCTTGTCCTCGACACTCTCGCAACACTTTAAAACGCCTGGTGATCTTACTTGGAAGAAAGATTTAAACGTTTAATGACGGCGTAAACTACTATCTCCTTTATGCAGGCTACGATGTTGTCGCATGCAAATTGTCAAGCACGCGTGGAAAGTCAGTCCAAGTTTTCTCGTTTCACGTTCAATCAAAACGCAATACAGCGTGATCGAGTACTGTCTCTTATCTTTCTTCCACCCAACGCTCGTAAATTCCCTTTTTCTTAGACCGTCTCTTTTCTTTGGCCCAACATCTCCGTCGTGCGTGTTTAGTGGGGCCGCAACGTGCTTTCTCTCTATAACTTTCTTCTTCGCGTGTTTCGTGTTCTTAAATCGTTGATTCAGGAGTCTGTCGGGCAACTGCATTTTCAGTTGTAAATGTTAATTCAACGATTGTCAAATAACTCGGATCGAAATACTAAGAAACTTACACGCGAATAGCAAGGGACTGGGAATTTATATTTTCTGTCTAAATCCAACGGTCACGATCGATACGTCGGGCACCCAACGATATCATCTCTTAACCCGAAAATAGATTTGCAGGTTTATCAAGCGCGAGGACTCGTTACGCGTCTTACGGCTTTCCTCTGATTGTCTGACAAATTGTTTAGCATACGCTCAGTTTGCCTGAACTGGTTGTCGCTTAGATGCTCGACTAGCAACACGGGTTAATTAAGCGACACGTTCGTATCGCGAGTCTTAATCGAGTTCGAATAGCTCGCGCACCTGCTGCAAATAGAGTGAAATCCCGACCCGGCGAACAAAATTATCCGTCTTTTTTCGTTCGCGTAGGCACATGGAGATACACGGGGACGAGAACGAGGGAGATGGTCGAGAACGATAATAGCCGTGGTAGAGAGCAAAGCCTCTGTCAATACTTTGCCAGCGTGACTATCCCTCTCGTCAGTCTTTTGCTCGTTCCTGCGGTTGACGAGTATCAAACGAAGCAATTAGCGTCGTCGCCACCGCTGATCAAGTTTCCCTTCAACGGCAAAGTATTCAAAATGAATTTAAGAGCTCGTCCTGGGTTAAGGCAGTCTTGGACGATGTATCTGTCGGCACGGCCACAGATCGAATTCAACGATATGTACCGGGGACGGAACGAGTGGGAGGAAGAGATTTGGCTAAAGATGGTCTCGCGCGATTCTACCGGAAGCACTCGATGGCACGGTCGAAACGCGACCTCTGCGGGAGTCGCTGCGCGATCGAATCCCTTGAACGTGTTTTCCAGAAACAGCCTATAACGTGTACTGTGCGAAGTAACGCTTCCTAAGATTGTTAGTAATGCAATTTCCTGGAGATCCGGCAGTCAATCGCATACGCGAATCGCCTCGCGTTGTGTTATTACATTAGTTTGCGGCAGAGTGGGTAGCCAGAGTTTGGGAAATCGTTGCGACTGAGTTGATTACATGGAAGATTACGCAAACCAAATGTTTCTGTACCAAAATAATGTGCGTAGTAACGTAACGGTCGTAGAGAAAGTGAAATTTCTTTGTAATTAGGCATCGTAGGTACCGAGGGTAAAACGAAAAACGAACGATCCTCGTTGGATCGGCGATTTCGAGTAGAAGCTCGAATCGAGCTTGCCGAAATAGGATACGTTCGCTTTGTCCGCGCGTGGCAGCGATGAAATGTAATTTAAATCGGCGCCCGATCCAAAGAATCGTCGTTGGGGACAAAAGTGTCACGGTCGATCAGCAACGCTTGACGGGTTAACGAGAATTCGATTTTGCCACTGCGCGCTTTTGCTCGGGAAACAAACGGAAAAAGAAGACGAAACTTACAGTTAGAAAACTCGACCCGCCCCGCCGCTCCTTTTATTATTGAATTTGGAAAACTTTTTCTTGCGGTTGACTACAAATTCGAAAGTCTTGGCCGGTCGGACCAAGATCGTTCGTCTAACTCCTCGTTCTGGGTCAGCCATCGACGTCGGGGTGTCGAAAGACCTGCTCGGAATTTAATGAATCCAACTTCGTTTTATTCCTATTTGTACGAACATATCCGATTTTCTTTTATTTCTTTGCCCACCAAAGACGGTCAAGTTTTTTCCAGCCTTGAGTTTAATTCGTTGCTTTTCCCGAGGAAACGTGTATAGGAAAATATTTGCGCGCGAAAATTACGATAATATAAGAGGCAATATCTCTTCGGCGGGAAAACCAAATTTACGATTCACGCGATACGTGACCTCGATTTCATAGGAAGATTAAACCGATATCGTGCTGGCGCGGAAATCTTTCGTACCGCGCTGCGAAAAAATACAGCAATTTGGCGGGTTGTCTGCTACGAGGTTTATCGTCATGACGTGTACGCGGCATCGAATCAACCAAGGTAAAAACTTGCGGAACAACCCGTGTTTTATTGTCGTCGGGGCACACGCGCATCACGCTCTCTGAACAGAGTTAACCGCGTCGTAACTTTCTGCGCTTGAAACTTTCGATCTTGAGCGACGTAACTTTTTTTCTTCATAGATCAAACGCGACGAAGATAGTTTGGGTGTCGATATCAGTTACTTTGCCACGAACTCGTAGAAACGTCGTACAAGTTTATTCGGGGCACAAGTTCTCTACGTCCGAGCTAACGAAAGACAAAACTTGCCGATGCGTCCGTCCCGCGCGAACAAATTTTATTCAATGTTTTTCACTTACTTTCCCACTTGGAATCATTTTATTTACGATTTCTCTACAGCACTCTGTATAATAATTATTTTATTTTACACCCGGTGCAATCATAAATACAAATCGTGAAATTATCTGCTTCCCTAATAAATATGAAACGAGGTAGAGAATTACGCCAGCCGCAATCAACTATGTATGGAAAAATTACGTCTATTTTCGTCAGCGGTTCCTGATACGTTAAGTAAATTTCATTCGGAATAATACGTTTAACTTAATTTATCCAATACCCTCTTTCCGAGCAACCACAGTTAATTTTCGAAAATTCATTCGTAAACGAGGTTTACATATTGCATTACCGCTGTTCAAACTAGTACTTACTTGTGTACAAATTTTACGATTAAAGGTTTTCCGTTGAAATTTGTGAACGCTAACTGCGATTGATATCTGATTAAGTATCACAATGGCGTCGATTATTCGATGCTGAGACTGTCGGGGGAACACGTTTGAAATAGTGGAAGTCAAAGCATTCGATCGATTCGTCTAGCAAAGAGACGCGATTACCGTAAACAGCGCGAAAACACGTTCGCGGTTGGCCTCTTAGTCGCGGTGCCGATAAACTTCGGTCATTGAAAAGCCTCTGGCACGTGCTTTCAAGTTTCCGTACACAAAACTGCGAACAGAATATGCGTTTCTCGCTTATCGTCATAAATTGTCACGGTACTTTTCATGATTCGCGTAAAACGAATAAATATTACTGGATTTCTCATCGCACATTCGTTCTGTAATGGCGAGAGCAAATAGAACTTTAGACTCCGTTAAACACGCACGGTGTTAATTTCAGTGACATTCGAGCTATACCGCATCTCGTACATGCCTTTGAGATTTCGGTCCCGTAGCAGGTTACGTAAAACCATGTACATACTAGAAAGAGCACAATACAAATTCCTTCGATCTGGGACGTAGAAAGAGCGTTATGAACCATAGTTATGATACAGTATCGCATAAAATTGCCTTCGCTTGAAACTGACAGATCGATCACCGATACGCTTTTATCGTTTGAACCGATTAATGGTTTTATTTGTTAGCCGCGTTCGATTCAAGTTAAACAGATTTTCACTCTCTTTTTTAGACAAAAGCTACGCGTTGTCCCGTCGCCACAGGCTACCTCCCAACCAGTCTTTATCCAGTGTTTTATATTGTTAGTAACAAATATAATAGAATTACGCCGTCTCTCTTCGGGAGGAAATGTAATTTCAGAGTTGTTTTACTCCTCGTTTTATCCAGCCGTGTCTTGTAGCGTCTTTCCCGTGTAGCGGCGAACTGTCCATCGTTAGATGCGTCGTGCCACCTGTGGCTATCGAGCATTGCCCGATGCACTATGGCGTGCGCATTAAATTACGACTTATAAAACTCGTGCTCCGTCGCGAGTACATACAATCATCCAAGATGGAAAAATATTCTCTCCTTGATAATTGTACCGTGCCCGGAAGAAAAGATCGTTTCCTCGTGGAAATGTCGACGTTAAAAAATATGGTTGGTTAACTCGGTCGACTCGGACTATTTACAGACGAGACAGAGCAGCGCGACAGTAGGGAACAACGAAGAGCAAGGGGGGACGAGCAGCTATTCGCCAAGGACGTCGACGACATCGATGATAACGATGACGATGACAACGACACCGACAACGCCGATGTCAACGACCGCGGTAACGTCGATGGCGTTGCCATTCGTGTCCACGGAATCGGATGCATCGATATCGTCCACGACGTGTTCGCAGCTGCATCACCAACGCCGACGGCAAACGCAAGATGGTGGCCAGTCCCGAGCCGCGACCGCCGCCTCGTCATCCGCGGGGACCAGCAAACTCTCGACGAACGTCCTTTTTTCCCTGCCCGCATCGCCGAAAAGATCCGTTGCTGTCGCGTCCAGTAAGGCACCCAATATAACCAAGTCTCAGATGAAAGGTGAGTTCTATCGAAACGGAAAGTACCGGTACTTCACCTTTATTGACGTTGCGAATGGAACGTGTTTAAAACCCGACACTATCCCTCGCACCATTTCTATACATATGTATAACACGCTGATAAAGAAATAGGAGCGTTCGATCCTTTCTCGAATACGAAACACGATTTTGCAGCTGTAAAAACAGTCTTCTCCAAAACGAGTTGAAATCGCTGGTCGGCCATGAATGGCGAAGCAGAGACGCTGAAAGCAAAGGATGTCTCGAAACGGAATCGGAATCAAAGAAGTCTCGCCTATATACGTAGTATGTTAAAAGAGAGGACGTAAATGTGCCGTTCCTTTTCCTACAAAGTGATATACACGTCGACGACTTAAATTCCGTTGCTTCCGTTCCACATGGATTTTTTTCCTTTTTTTTTTTAACGAACGTTCGCGGAGAATTTCGCTCGCACACGCGTCAAAAAGTCCGATTATTCGCCATGATCGGATTACCTTTTGAAAGATATCATTCATCGATGAGACGTTCGTGAAAAAACATTATCGTAAAAATCCTAGCAAAGGTATTATTAGGTATTCGCGATACTCGTTTCGCGTTACATTCGCGGAGGAAACTGAGCAAATGCTCGTAGCACTCGAATCCAATGGTTAAATCCCGATTTAAATTTATCGTTATTTATGCCACGTGCGCAACGGCGTTTAAAAAATTCAATCTGCAAAAAACTGTTGCGTAAGGTCTACCTAGATTTACGAAGCCGTCGTCTGTTAATCGTTTTCGCGGTGCCTCGGATATTTGCCGAGCATCGACTAATTCGTTCCATGGTCTGTCTTTCGTTAAAAAGATACGCGAGAGGTAAACTATTATAGAATAAAATGTACAGGAAACCGCATTCTCGTGACCGGGTTAAGCGTAATCTATTTGTTTACTTTTTCTTCCCCGTTGGTCATTACCGTTAAATCGCGTGCGTTCTTTCCTTCTTTCTATTCCTTTGTTATTGTCTCGCTGGGCTTCTAGCCGGACAACAATAGCGCATAGATACGTCGGTGCAAAACGTGCTTATAGGAAAACCATAGCCGCCGGTACGTACAAAATCAATGGGCCGTGAAACGAGGCTATTAAACGGTCGAGTCAAGCACCGACGATCCAAGTCAAACCTAACCGCTTGTCCCCTCTCATCGTGTTCGCCGCGGGTATCAAACATCATGGAATGTTATCGACCGGAGCGTTTAATCAACTCGAACCGACCGATCCTCCTAGCTCTCGGGTTGGAAAAAATGTCGAGGTCGAGCGGAAAGCACGATTCACGATCCACGATCCACGATCCACGATCCACGATTCCTCCGGTGTCTTGGCCGGGGTCAGGTTTCGACGCATCGAAGCTTTTCAGATTTCATTCGGTGCGCGTAATTAGTCGAGTCAAAGTTCGTTTCACGGCGTCCGTCGCCGTTATTCCGTTCCTTGGACGAAAAAGTAACGACACTCGAGGATACCTTCCCTCCCGAAATCGAGGTTTCTGTTAATTAAAATATCGCCACGCGACTCTATTCAGGCTAGTCGTGCATTAAGACCGGAAGGAAACTCTCCCCGTAGGCATTATGCGTCACGGTTCTTAACCGCGCTTTTCGCTTCCACTGTTTCGCGTTCGCTCTAATGTGTTACAGCCCCGGCTGGTCATTATGCCTCGAGGGAGAGCGCGCTAAAAATTAAGGCGAACGTAGACTCGGTAAACGTAAGGTATCTCATTGTTATAGAATTCAGGGAGGCTTTCAGACTGTTCGACAAAGACGGCGACGGGAGTATCACGAAGGAGGAGCTGGGCAGAGTGATGCGATCTTTGGGACAGTTCGCGAGAGCCGAGGAGTTGCGAACCATGTTGCAAGAGATCGACATCGACGGTGAGTTCATTAAACTTTAGTTTATTTATAATTGATTAACCTAAATTACCTGAAAGCTGTTTCAAATAGGAAACGTTTTAACGTAAGTTCGGACCGAATTAAGTCGGCCGATGAATATTTTTTAACGCAATACGTATGCGCATCGTCATCAAATGGTCGTTCCATTGGCAACATTACCGTTGCCTTGGTGCACCTCGTTGACAAGGTAGCGAGCATTCGGCTATTAGTCGACAACTATGAAGTTTACCATCCGTCCGTGTAACCACGTTGTCCCACTTACAACCTTTCTGCCCAATGGCATCGCCTTAATTGCAGGTAATTTTCACCAAGCGTTCTCCCGCTTGACAATGGGAAGGACGTTCGCGAGCGGAGCCTCTTTATTAAGCCAGATTCACTCTCTCTTCCTCCCGAACTCTTTCCCTTCGTTCGACCGTGCTCTTTTCCCCTTTCTGACCGACTATATCCTCATACCCCTAACGACTATTTAGACAGTAGTCCTCTTTTTCCTCGGATTCGTTCGCCCGCGTTTTGGAGCGCGAAGGAATTGCTCCAGAATCTTGGTCGAATGGTCGCCACCTAGACGACAATTTCCATCGTTTTGACGCTCGATGACAAGATTCCCTCGAATTTAACGTTCGAATCGAGTCGAATCGCCACTGAAATCTTGTTAGTCTTTTCGCTTTTTTATCGGTAGGGACCATCGAGAGGTAACCTTTGTTGAAAATTAAATTCCAGTCGTTATTCTTCAAGACCTTTGTTAAGCGAAACGGTAAAGATTGGTATACTAGAAAATAAGGTTGTCTTTTGGTTTTTGATTTTTTTTGTACGTGACGCGTACAAATGTATCGATACCTGTTGCTGATTCCCGACCAAGTAGAAAACAAACTTTTTACGCCGTAATAGCAAAACTACCGTTGGTTCTCTGTTTGCGACAGTTTCTTCCACAAGTTTCAATGGTAAAAAGTCAACGTTTAAAAATACATTTGTAAAAACGAAACACGAGGTGTTGGTAGAGGAATAGATTCCCGTTGTACGGTCCTATAGGGTGGCACAGTTTTTCTCGGACTAGCCGAAATTACGCGCACGTCTAAACAAACGTCGCGTCGGGTCACTGGTTCCCGTCGAATTCGCAAACCTGTCGTCGTCAATTGCGACTCGTGTTTACCGCGCGTAAAATTTTTCCTCTCTATACGTCAAATACCCAGACCCGCGATACGTAGCAAGGTGTATCCGTGGACACGTTGCTCGTGAAAACCTTCACCGTGGTGACAGAATTTTTATTAATTCCACGGTCCACTGGAACTAATGGAACGCATAGCAGATTACCACATTGCTGCATTTAAAACGTGCTCTTTTATCGTCTCATTCTTCTCGAACACGCTGCTAATCCAGTTAGTAATTACACGGATAGAGTGTTTATTAATTCCTTTACACTTTGCACTCGGAAGCAAGTTTTTTTTTTTTTTTTTATTCGACAATATTGCAGAGGAATTATACGAGTCGAACCAAGTAATACAGACCGATAGACATTGTTATTCTTATTCGATGTCAAAATACGCTACTAAAAATTCATCGATATCACAGAAATTGGTTAAAATTGTATTACTCGCAATCGAGGATTCGTACGTAATTGTTAATTTTGTTTTCTACTCGTTCGCGTGCCCCGTTGATTCGCGAGCCTAATTTTGACGGAAATTCTGATATATGAATCACTCGCCACGATACTTGCGATTCTTTCGCGCGTTTCCTAGCTGTCGCGTGCCCTTTAATGGGAACGGTTGTCATTAGTATTCCAGAGTGTTATTCCCTCTAATCGACTGGCTCGTTTAATTCTTGCGGCGAATACCAGGACGAAGGAAGGAACGCATTTCCACCTATTCGAAAACGAATTCCCGTCGACTCGATAAGAGCAGCCGTCGAATATTCATTCGTGCGTTGTCTCTTCCCTGGAGGGTCACTTCGAATTTCGATACTAAAAGTATTGAAGTATTATAGAGAGTAGATCAGGTCGCTGTCAGTGTACGAGTAATTAGAAGCAGCTACAGCGAAACTAGGAGCACACGAAACGAGACCATCGTGCGCGCCTACATAATCGAGACTCGTTTCGCCGTGGGTGCATCTCCCGTTCGCTCGATGAATACACCCCCGTTCTCTCTGTGTGCGTGTATCCCATCGAATAAAACAGACACGCACACCACGGATAAACGAAAAACCAAGGAGATAAAAGAGGAAAAAAATATTGCGATACACTGATGAGAACCAGCTCATAGAAACGTTCCGATGCGACATCCGCTACGTCGTTTGAATGCGCTCATCGAGAGGGGAACTTGCTATGACTCGGTTTGGGCCAACTAGTCCATTCGTATGTGCATGACAACGCGTGGCATACGTGTATAGATCGACCGCGGCTTTAACACATCAAATGTCAATTCAACGACGTTACGTTGTGGTATTTAGCAATGCCGACGAAAGTTCCAACTGGTCGATAGCCAACACCGACCGGCAGAGTTGACTTCGAGACGAAGGACGCGCCTAACCCAGACCGTTATTCGTCCGCAGAACGATTCGGAAATCAGCGAGTTTCGGAAACGAGGCCCCAATTAATTTTCACCAACCGCCAATTAATTTTCACTTATCGCGTGTATTCTGTTCCTTCCTGTTAAATGACAATAGTTTCATTGTTTGTGCTTCACTTATTTATACGGGTATAAGCATACAATCGAAAAGGAAACACCCGGCGATCTAGCAGAATAAGTAGTAACCGCTAGCGTCGAAATTGTTTTGAAATTCTTTGTCGAAACGATAGTCGAGGAATATCGTTATTGCGAGGAAATACGAGTTAAATGGAAAAACGATTTTTGGAAAAGCAACGTTTCAAAACACTATGTTAGTTTCCACGTTGTATCTACTCGCCGTTCCCTCGTATCGATGCCGGATATTATTGTTTTTCATTCGAGCTTTCGATTCGTACTTGATGTGTCAGGAACACGTTACGATTAAAAGTACATATTTTGTTCGCGGGGGCTCTTTGTCGATGAATCTCGACCAGCTCGTCCGGGTGTTTACAATTTCCAATCATTTTTAAAGGTAAAAATCTCGTGAGAGGATAAGTCGATGGTCGGACTTCCGTGGGCCTTGCTTCGTTTCTTTGCGTTAGAGCGTCCGCGTTACACCGATTTACGAATCGAGGGAATTACCGGAAGCCATCGATAATCGATTCACCGGCTGGAAACATCGTGATTCCGCGTTACTGAATATATAACGAAGCTTTTGTCGGCAATCTCGCGCGCTCGTTCGAGTTCAAAGCTCAGTCGGTACGCATTTCAAAGCGACGCGTATCACGAGAAACGTATTAGGTTCCATGATCTGTCTGCCACCCTGTCGTTTCCGGAGAATCCGAAGCCGCGTCATCTGGAATATCGATGCACGATGACTGTCTGATTGTACTCGATATATCGGACTATTCGTATGCTAGGGCCCCTGCGTCGCCTCGCGTCCCCCTGCCGTAAACGTCAAGCAAAAGACGTTCGAAAATTCGAAACCGGAGCGTCGCAGCTTAGCATAAAAGGCGAGAGACGCTCGTTCGCCGGGGTTGCATTCGAGAACGCGATTTCATGACCGGTATAGCATTTTCCTCGCTGGAAATTTAAAACAAATTGGATAAGGATGGGAAGTGTACCGTTCAACCGATTCTTTCTTACGTTTTTCTCGTGGCTCGGCCAACGACGTTGTTCGACAAATTGCGATTCGTTTAGTCTCGATTCGCTTCGTTGACGTTTAAATTTGCCCACGTTTAGCTACGACTCTCGGCTCTCGCGAACGTCTGGTCGATTTTTCTTTACACGTGCCGGATATCGCATATCGACGACAACGAATGCATTCTAAATTTAAATATACTGGTTTTCGAATCCTAATTGACGGACCTCGTCGTTCTACCAAAATCCTGGCGAGTATCTATCTCTATTTCTAGCGTAACTGGCGGCCCGTGATGTAGAGGACCAATCGAAACGAGCGATAAGTGTGACGCGAATACGCGAATGTTAGGGTACCTGAAAAGGCTCTTTGACTACCAACGAAATCAATCATCATCGCGTAACGGTAAATCAGTCGCGAGTTCTCGTATATTGGCTCAACTAACAATATCGTTTCCTATACGTGCTGGACGAAATTTCGATCGCGATCATAGCTTTTCGCGTAGTTTTCAACGTGACCCACTTTTATTTACGAGCGAGAAAGAAATTAAACGGGAAACGCATTCACCCCTGGGACAGTTTTTGCGTGTCGCAAACCGCGCTCTATTTGTTTCAATTACAGAGTGCCTTTCTGGTCCGCGTTGAAAAGAATCTAAATTCCGATGAAAAAATTCAATGACTTCGAAAAGTCCTTATCACTTTTCTCTACCGACCGATTTCTATGAAATTCGCGTTCAATATTTACGATTCAATGTACTACTAGTGGATTAAAACCGGTCATCCTCCACGTATCGGGAGAGTACATGTTTTAGTTACAAACAATAATAAAGTTTATATATGTAGGCAATATTAGTACAGACTTTGCTGAACATCGAAGTTACGCTTGGACCGTAATGTCCGATTTTACTAGTGCCCGAAGGTCGTAATTGAACTGCGATAACATTTATAATGTCGAGCATAGGACGACACTTACGTATCGAGAGTAAATCCTTGGACTTGGTAAAGAAGAATTAATTCGTTAAATTCCTATTAAATTGAATATTAATGCGAATGACTGCATGGCTTCACGTATAGACACACGTTCGTTGGGTGAAGGATCGCATCCGTGTCGTGACTTTCGTGGGAAATAAAATCCGTTTAGGCCGTTGGCAAGAGGAGGAAAATCCCTTAGTGACAAACGAGACGCGTCAGCTTAAGCACGTTCGCGTTTGGCAGGACGCGTTATCTCATCTTTCTGTATCCTTGAAGAGCACGTTCGCGCGTGGCCATGTAGAAACAAACTGTTCTTACCGCCAACAAGTTTTACAACTTTCCTTCTTTAAAAATTTAAGTCAAAAATTTATCGAAGGAGGTCGTATGAAGCAACGAAAGACGACAGGCTGTTGTACATACAAGTTCAAACGCTTTGGTACCGGTGGTTTACTTATTACGAATGGGTTTGTAAAACAGAGAACAAGAGTTACAAGTTACAAGATTATTTAAGTCTTGTTAAATTTCAGACATATCGTATAATAAGTTTACCTCGAGGTTTTGCTCCCCGTGGCGCAGTTGTCGATGCTACGAACGCGAGACAACAACTGTTATGTACTTTGTACACAGAACTTCTCCATTCGCCTGAGGGCAATCAACAAAAAGGATTTTTCCCCAGAAGCGACTTGCGTTTATTTAAGAGAAGTTCGTCGGGGATACGACTAAATCGCTCGATGGCTTTCAGTCGTTCCGCGCCATGAAAAATTGTAACCGCTTGATCGGAAATTTATAGGCGATCCTCATGAATTTCAACGCGCCTCGCAGATTCGAATTCCCACGGAAATCATCCGTCGAGAAATATCTAACGTTCTTATTTCGCTTATGGTATTTTGTCTTTTCGCTGTTTTACGCAGGCCACGTGTCTCGTGGTCGCACAAAGAAGGGTGGAAAGATGCAAATGACAGGAAACGCGATTTTCACGATGAAAGCGTCCAGAACCGAGAAAGCAGCTTTTCGTCTGAGAACTTGCCGCTTAGACCCGGAATTGCAAAGTTGTTCGTTAATCTCTCGATGGTCGCGAATTCGGTCTTCTCACCTTTTGACGCTTCTCTTCGCTTATTCGAACGGAACGAATAGCACGTTTCATGTATTAGAATTCTGTACTTTGACTTGTACGTCGTTGGGTAGTGTAAAAGAAAAGTTATCCGAAACAAGAGGATAAAAACGGCGATGGAATGCACTGTGATGGTTTTTCTTTTGGTTCTTTTTTCAGGAGATGGAAACGTGAGCTTCGAAGAGTTCGTAGAAATCGTGAGTAACATCGGCGCGAACGAAACCGCCCCTACTGATCAGGATCAGGAAGAGCAGGAGTTGAGGGACGCGTTTCGGGTACGTTTGCCTTTTATCTTTACCTTTTGTTCCTCGATCCTTCGTCCGTTTTAACAAAATCATCACCACGGAAAATCGCGTAGATACTGTTGCATGAAACGAACATGCACTGTTTGCTGAACGATTTAGCGATTGTACGATACCGTTCGAGTATCAGTTCTCTGACCAAATCATGTACATACTACGGATCGAATGACTTTTATAGAGCGATTTCCCGTATCGAAGTTCCGAGCGATTATACGATTTCAAGTAGTAATTCCATTCTCGTGGTAAAAGGAAATGGAATAACATCGATCCGATAAAATATAAACATGTTAACTATACGTATAAAGTGCCTCGAATAATGTAATTGCAAAGAGATAGACTAACACTTGCTTCTAACCGAATTTACTTATTTATGGATTATTCGATCACGAATTCGATTCATACGTACATATTCCGTGTACCGTGTTGCGGGTGGAATCCAAGCGCGGTTGTATCAGCGGTATCTCGTATTAAAATTTTCGGCACACGTCCGACCGAGCGAAATATAAAGCCCTGATGACGGTAGCGTGCATTCCTATGCGCATATATAACTTAGTGCCCGTACGTGAGAAATAGCGATCCGTTAAGGAAAACAAATCTTTGGAAGAACCTAGCCCCGTGGACGACGGAACTTTTGGATTTAAAATGCCGGGGAATACGCGCACGTGGTACGCCAAGCATCCTCCCTTCTGTCTTTTCAACGGAGAATAACGCCGACGCAGTTCGCGACCTTAGAAAATAAGTAGAAATCAACTGATCGAACCGCAAACTATTTCCATCTTAAATTCACTTCGTTATTAGGGATGAAAAGAACCAAGACCGAATGGGAAACGTCACCAAGGTAGAACTACGTACGTAGGTACCTACTTGTTCGTGGAATCCTATCGCTCAAAGTGTCTCTTGTTCTACGCTCAGAGATTTAACCGAATCTGCGCGGTATTGAAGCCAGTGTAAGAAACGTAGTTGGTAAAACGGTTAAGTCAGTCGCGTGATCGAGGACACCGGTGCACGTTCCATTGTTCAAAACAGACAGACTCTGGTACGTCTCCTCGATTCGCGCTCAACTGGTTCGCCGAGCGTATCAGATCCATGGTTGAATGCAAACGTTAATAATAATTGTCAGATAACGAGCACCGAAGGACAGATTTCGTTCTGCGGTACAAAGCTTTGGACACGCCGAGCGTTTGCAAAACGTCCGCAAAGATATCTCGCGTCCGCATCGTTTTGCGTTCTGACAAATTTCTCAAATCTTGTTTTATTGCTTCACGTTTCAATATTGCGTTCCGCTTTTGACAATGGTCGTTTTCAGTGACCGCTCGTTCCGTGACTTTTCTTCGTTCTCGAGGATAAACGAGCGTAACGAGCATGGAAATTCGGAAATCAGCGTACCGAAAGAAATTTGAAGAGAACTCGAAAAGCTTTGCGGGAACCCGTTTGCCGGTAGTTGGAATTAAAGTGCGTGAAATCGGAATTTAGCGAAAGCGCGTCTGCCTTCCTCGGTGTCTCATCAGGCTGGCTGGTTTAAAGAAATCGTTGCTTGCGCGGAGTTGCATCGTTCAAGAGCCCCTCGTTCGACGAAGACCGTTAACGACGAACGGAGACTCGATCGTCGTTCATTTCAAAGTTCTAATTGATAAATTGAAGTCCGAATGAGTTCCACGGGCGATGAAAAGCTCTTTCGGCTATTGTGTAGCACAAGGATCGTTTCGCAGCACCCGAGATTCCGAGAAGCCTCCGGAGTAATTTAAAATTCCCTGGAATCTAAGTTTTCTCGTTTGTACCGTCTAGCTCGAATCAACTATACTCTTAAACGAGACCAGACTGCGTTTCGAGGCGTCGCGTCGCCTCGCGTCGCGGAGGACAACCGCGAGCCGAAGGAATTTCTTGCATCCGCCAGGTTTCCTCAATTTTTCGTCCCAAGCTTTGTCATAATTTTGTAGAGCGGCAGGAATACCTGGCAAGATCGCTGAAACTTGAAAACGGTCACCGTCAAAGAAATACCTGCGGCTCGACGAACAACCGAAACTTCCTGTCCCGGAAGGAACGCGATTTCAGATGTCTTGGAATGTAAAATCGACGACGTTTACCGCAGGATTCTATTTGGATCTTTCGGTCGTTGCCCATTCATTCTGCAGCGGGAAAAGTTCGGCTCGCGAAAACGAAGGCGACGAGGAAGAAAGTTCCGGTCGCCGCCGCGCGTGACGTAATCAAAACAAAATCGAAACGTCGAAATTACGGTGCTTACTGCAAATACGTGTTAAGTTAATGTTCTCTATCGCGTTCGACTCGTTTGACGTTATTTCGATCGAAAGAACGTGCCTGTCATACAGAATTCATAGAACACATTTCGAACGCGTCCAAAGTACGAGGGTCGTTTCAAAAGTTTACGACTTCACCCACCGGTAATGATACCGTTTAAGTTTTGTTCTCGTATTTTGAAATGTGATTTGTTTTATACGTAACCTGTAAATTTGGTGTCGATAACTCCCATAGTATGGCAAAGAAGTTAATTTAAAAAAGGTATCTCGTGTCGTGATTAAATTTTTAACGAAATAAAAAAAGTGTCGACAGCGCACCATCACATATTATGGTGAAAAAATGGTATCAGCTTGGAAAACGACCCGCGTGGTGACCGTCCAAAAACCGTAGGACAACTATTTCGTAGATCTTTGACAAACGGATGTCCTACATGGCGTAAAAGCTTTAGAAGATCGCTGAAAAAAATATGTCGAAGTTCTAGGAAGTTGTTCGTCTAAAACGATACTCGACTAGAAAATTTTCGTCCGGTAATTTGCTGAAATTTCACGAACTTTCTAACAGAATCGTTTAACGCTTCGTTGCTCGGAGTTGGTCCAAGCTTATGTTGAGTGACAACAAGAGAGAATGCTGTGTAATGTAACGACCTACTTCTATTACGTATGCATATGAAATCCCATGATTTAGTCTCGAGTAGACCGAAAGGTAGCGGACAAAGCTCGAGGGACATCGGGTAATTAAAAGTCGTTTAATACGGATTCCTTTCTCGCGTTTCCAAGTAAACGTCAAATACAAAAGTTTTGTGCTGATCGAAGCAAGCATTGGCTGGTTTTCACGGAGGAAACTGATAAGATTGACACGGTCGCGAACAAGTTAACTTTAGGAAGTTGAAAAGGGGTTAAAATATGCATGGTAAAGGGTCGCGTTAATGAAACCGACTTCGATCAATTTTCATATCAAGATTTGCGTTCAATATCAAGGCAGCAATTGAAGTCTAACGATGTCGTCTCAGTGAATAATTAAAGAGTCGAAGGATACCTGTCTCTGCGAGAGATACCAAGCAGCTCCGGAACCGTGGCAGGTCCATTATTAAACGATATTTTACGCCCGCTACGACAGCAGTCTAATCCAAATTTCGTACAAACGGTGGTACTTTAGTTACCGTCGAATCTATCGGTTTCTTCGCTAACTTAAACGATACCTTTTAAACGTACAATGTACAGGAAACGAAACGAACGAGAAACTACTGGTTTCGTGCAAAAGCGTACCCCCATTAAACTCTTGGTACCGTAACTCCGCAGATCATTAATACGACTCGATAGATTATTTCAAGATTCCCGTATTGCAGTTAGCGTCTGTGCCGACCGAATAAAAGTACCAAGTTGTTTGTAAACGTTGAATAAAAACAAACATACGTATCGAGAAAATCTATTTCGTAATTTGATATCCTGTGTAATTCGTACACTTCTCACAACGGCAAAATTAATTATTTTCCGCGAAACTGTATGGTTTGTTTATTAGAAAATTGGTATTACTTGATACGGCGAAAATTCCTGAAACGATTGATCGACTAACGTCTTTTTTCTCCTCCGGGCAGAAGCGTGCTCGAGTTCTAGAAGTCGATAATGTGCTTTCGACACGCGATCGTACCTATTCGTCCTCATTTCCACCGCAACGATAATGTACCACCCACGTGCAGTTATCGTACATATTAGTTAGTCGAACGAGCTTAGCTACCTCGGTACGCGTTCTATCGAAGTTACTTCGCCGTGTGATCGCTTTAAAGGCCGTTTCTTGTTCGTCCGCCACGCGTCTCCCGTCAGGCGATTCTGGTTTTCCGCGTTTCGAACATTTCGACGTGTTCTGACCGCACAACTTCCCAAAATACCCGATGCAATCTGTATTTCTTGCGACGATCACGCGACCGTTTTCCATCGCGTAACTCTCCAACACGAAGTCGCCTGTTTAACGATTCGTTTTCACAGAGAATTCTCTGCGCGTTGAAAAAGCGCCAACCGACAGAGGCATGCGATAAAATAAATCCCCCCCTTGTTGTTTTAGTTCGCGGTAACACATTGCAAGGAAAAGTTGTTGCAAAAATATACGAGAAATACTATGACGATGCAGGAGGCAGTGCTTCGGGGCGGTTAGTTTCACCTGCTAATTACACGTAACGTGAAAAAGTAAAATTCCGAATTTTAACCAACTCTATACAACTGTATACACGTTCTGCTAGTCGGAGAAGAAACGGATGATTTTAGTTGTGTAAATTTTTAATACTCAAGATACTGACACAACTGCTATCGCCAGGACATCTTTTTTCTTAAACAGGCATGCGTGGAAGTCCGCGTTAGAGTACCCGCGACGCTCTTTACCCCATTATCTCGTATATTACGGTGAAGTTCGGCCGTGGATACGCACCACTTTGTATGCATAGCGTGCGCGTTTGTGCAACCGTGGTCGCGAACACGCGAGAAAGGAAGAGCAAAAACGGAGAAGTGTTTTGGTGGAACGCGGGGGCGTCACATGGAACCGTATCGCAAAGGGAGCGTGTCAAACCGTTGCACCACAATACATTCTAATGACCATAGCTTCGCAGCCCTTCGTAAGGACTTCCAGAACCTCCCGCCATTCTCACACCCCATTCTTCTTCCGCGATGTCGTCTGCCTACACTTTTCCAGCCATTTCGCCGCCTTTGTTGGTCGTCGGCATGTCTTTT